TATAGCTTGTATTCCCCCGATTCCCGACTATAGCGGTATTCCCCGTAAACGATGACTCATCATACATTATAACCACGAGGAATAAATCCGATATGTTGCATGGGCGTTGTGTGCAACAACGAAATGTTTTCAGGGGTTAAGTGGTAGCGGTCTCTTTCGGGCATTGAGGATTTTGCTGGTGAATTTAGTCATGATTCCGGTTTCCGGTGATGAATTTGAGCATGATTCTGGCTTCTGGTAGTAAATTTGAGCATAATTCTGGCTTTCAGTAATAAATTTGAGCATGATTCCGGCTTTAAGTGGTATGATTTCGATTTCCGGTAATAAATTTGGGCATGATTTTGGCTTCGGTGGTGAATTTGAGCATGATTCCGGTTTCCCGTAGTAATTTGAGTGTATTGCCGATTGTTGTAATTTAAGGATAATTTTGGTTTTTATAATTGGCATATTTAGCAGATGGATGGGCACTTTGAATTATTGCTGATTTAAATTGAATTAAACAATTCTATATGGGAATAAATGGAAACGTTGGAACGTGTTGGATATTCATTGATGGGTAAATTCCTTTTTTATCTCTGAGATACCACACTATTTTTTAAATTTAATCGAAATTTAAAACTTTTAAGCCATTGAGTCATTGAAACTATTTAGTCGTTAGTTGTACAAATATAGTTTAATTATTAAGTGATTGCCATGAAATTTTCATGGGATTTCGATATGATGGGATTATAATAAAGATTATATGCATGAAATTTTTTCAATAGGTTTTTTTTATAACTCGAAGTAAACAACTTCTAACAAAAATGATTTTACAGTTACTACTAGACGAGTATCAAACTATAGTATTGCATTGGATAACTTTGCTGATGAGGTCTATCACTTCAATTCGTTCCACATCATATCCTTTTTCTTGGGTGATTGAAATAAGTTCTTTTTGCATGTAGGAATTGGTTAGTATATTAGGGAACGAAATTATTAATATTTGTTTTAAAAAAATTTAAACGTCCGGTGAGAAAATTCGAACTGCTTCCTGGAAAAATATTCCGCAACTCTTTTAATATTGAATATTAACCTGTTTAATTTCAATGGAGCACTACTTTTATGTGACATGATGCAGAATTTGTTCGAGACTAATTAATCCAGTTAAAGATTTTCATTTTTCCGCAAAAGATAGAGTGAAATTACGAGGATTTTTGAAGTTTTTAAGATTTAATGCTTTTTCTACGATTTTCCAAAGATTTATAAATTTCGCCATGCAAATAATTTATTTTATATGGATTTCACTGAATGCTTTTTTACCTCATTTATTGAGTATTATTTTCAGTAAATGCTGCTGGTTCGAACAATTCCGATACGCATGGTAAAATGTTCTTGAATATTGAATTTCGGACAAAAAATCAGAATGGAGAGGTAAAACTACGCAATATTCGGATTTCTATCTCTGAATTTGTCAATTTCTTGCAACAGTTGCGTGAAATGCAGAAAGGAAGTATGCAGTGACCAATTCTCATTACCCTTTTCATTTTTATTTTATTATCTTTTTATTTTGATCACATTTTCGTTTTTATGCAATGTTACCGCATTAAATTTTCCAACTTGATATGTTGATATCTTTTTATACTTGAAAAATTTTTGCGACAATTCTTGAAAGTTGATGTTTTTTCTATGACTGGTAACCTTCAATATGTATACTTATCATATTCAAAATTGCTAATAATTCGATTAATTGCTTTCGCTATTTTTCATCTTTTACTTGTATGAGGAAATTTTCGATTCAGTTTTTGCCTTAATAATATTTTTCGCATTACAATGGAACACAAAACTATCTTTGCCCAACTATTCTACACAACTACTGCTAAAAAACTACATATAATTTAAAATCATATTTTTGAAACCTAACAATTCTATGCGATATGTTTAGTGATGATATTATGTATTGTTTTTATTATAAATATGACACATTGAATAATTTATATCAATTGACCAAACATTGTCATTACTTCGATATTAGAACTGTAGGAATAATCATACAATATAACGGTAACCAAATGAAGTGCAAAGAGTATCACGTGAAAAAAAAGTAAAATAAGAAAAAGGCAAAAACAAAAACACTAAAAAATGGTCTAATTCTAATTCAAAGATAAAAAGAAAAAAATATTCTCTTCATCGGTATTATTAAGAAAGTGTTGCATTTTAAAATCCAACATACCAATAGGATTAATAATAATTAATAATAACGACAAAATTAATAGCAGTGTATTGATAGTAGTTTGCTAATTGCATGATAAAATCCAAAACGAAAATCGAAAAAAATAAATTAACAGCAATTACGAATAATCATAAAATACGAAAATTTTGTTTCTTCAGGATTTCTTCTGAAAAAAAAATGAAATGATAAATTAGTAATTGAAATTAAATTGTGATAAAGTTAGAAAGAGAATAAAATATTCAATTCGAAATGCTTAATTGATTTTCTTTTCTTCTGCTTTATTAGTATTACATATCCTTTTACTAATAATTTCCAAACTTCTATCATTACTGTAGCGGTATGTTAAGTAATAAAGAGAAATTGCTATTACAATACCTTGGCAGCACCCTCTTTTTTACCAGTCTGTGATGTTTTCCTGGCATTAGCAGTGAATTTCGTGCCAGCTTCATTCGGCTTTTTTGAAACTGTCTTCTGTGTACCAGTTGTTGCTGTTCCACTTTTCAATTTCATTGATGCTTGTGAAATAGGCTTACCTGTTGTTGAAACTTGACTATTTTGTCGGCCAGGTAATGACTAAAACAGTTAACAAAATGTCCAACTACTATTGTTGCAAATTTATTTTTTGCTGCATAACAGTTAAATAAAGAAATGTGAGTGAGTAAAATAATTAAAATTCTTACTTGTCAAAACTTGCATCATTTCAATTTTATCTTTAATTTTTTAAATTTGAAATTAAAGCTATCCACAGAATAATTTATATTATAAGAATAATTTTACAAGAATAATTTAGCTGAGAATAATTTATTTTGGTATTATAACATTTGCTATGCTTAATAAAATAAATTCCCCTAAATAGGAGGGAATAAACGTGAAAACAATCAATATTGCTACGCTTTATTGTTAGGAACAAAATAATGACTACTAAATAATAAATGTGTATAATTAATAATTAGCTAACCTTTTTAGCATTTTCTTGAAAAACAACACCTTTCGATTTCGGTTGCTGCTCTGGAATAGGAATTGTAATTGGAGGCACTGCTTGCGAGGCTTGTTGTTGTTGTTGTTGTTGTTGTTGTTGTTGAAGAGACATTTGTGGTGTTGGCATTAATAAATTTGGTGATGAAGTATGAAGAAAATTTGATGGAACTAAACCACGAATACCATTTAATTCACCCATAAAGAAACCATCTTCATCCATTTCGCCGTATACAGTGATAACATCACCAGCATGAAATGATAATTCAACCTAAAAATTTATTAATTTCTTTTCACATAATTTCTTTTATTCTATAAAATGAAAGAATTAATTAATCGTTAATCGTTCATGATATTATGCATTTTTTTTTTCTTTCAAAAATAAAAAGAAAAAAATTAATTTCAATTAATTCTATAATTATTTCGTATTTGCAACGAATTAGCATTCATTGTTAATAGGTTGCATCGAATAGATATCAGATAATTTATTATAATTTGCACTACTAACCTGTTCTGCATCAACATTTGGACTTAATTCTCGTGAATCATAATCAAATTTTGCTACAAATTTTCGCACAATTATATTATCATTCATTCTACCATGTCTGAAAAAAATTTTTTTTTTTTTTTTGCTTATAACTTTAATATGGAATTCGATTAAAAAAATTTCAGGTTTATTCCATAAAATGAAAAAATTAATTAATCATTTTTTTGTAAATTTATTTAGTTTTAAAATTTTTAATTCAAATTTATAAATTTTATTGAAGTTATATGTAAATATGGCAAATAAATTCGGGATGATTAAAGAATGAAATGATTATTGATAGTTAGATAAGATTAAGATGTATATTCTTGATGAGTCTAGCCCAAAATAAATGCATGAATTATTCGAGATGAGGCTAGAATAGATGAATGAATTATTTTTGATGAGCCTGGAATAGATATATAAGTTACTTCAGATAAGTCTAGCACAAAATAAATGCACGGAATATTTTACATAAGCCTGGAATAGATGAATGAGATATTCTCGACAAGCATAGAATAGTTACGTGTTACGTAAAATTAATTGTATATTCTAGACGAACTTGAATAATTTCGTTTTCTTACTTACTAATACAAAGAAATTGTTATGAATGATTTTACCTTAAATCTTCAATAGCTGTAACAGTATCAGATGGATAATATGATTGAGTAGCACCGGATGAAATTGTATAGTCACGCATAAATCCGTGACCTTTTTCATGTCTACCATAATCAGTCCTCCTATCATAATTTCTTACATCCCTAACACTTTGATCTGATTCTCGTTCCTTCCTCATTTCACGATACTCTGCTACTTCACGTTGTTCTCTATAGTCACGTGAATCTCTGAAATTAATCAATTGTGATAAATGATTTATATTCAAATGATTAATTAGGAAGGTTAATTACTATATTACTTATATTACTATATTACTTATATTCATTACTAATAAAAGAATCATGTCTATTTAAATGTTAATAGAAGCTAACTATCCACTTCTATTTTTGTCGTTTTCTTATTTTCTTCAATATTTCATTTATCCTTATTGTTCTGTTTTTTTTTTTCATTTATATACCGCTTATTTTCTATTCTCAGAGTACCTGTAATTACGCATCTTTTGATCGTCATGTTCTTCCAAGTAATCGCGTTCCCTTCTTGCCATACTTGGTTCACGCTGATATCTTGAATCTCGGAAATCACGGTAATCCCGCGCATCTCGACCTTCACGTATCTCATGATAACCACGCATATCTCTAGGATCTCGAGGATCTCGAGGTCCTTCAGTTTCATAGAATTCAGGAACCCTTTCACGTTCCGATAAATCCCTTTCATCTATGTAATGTTCTCTACGATCTCGTTCAGCCGTTATTTCACGTGGCCTACAATTATATATATATATAACTTATAATAGTGTAAGTGTAATTAAACTTAAGATTCAAATAAAAATAAAATTAAGCCTAGTAACTTCTAGCTAAAAAAAGAAAAGATAAAAAATGAAATTTGTTTAATTTACAAACCTATGATCACGTGTATAACTGTAGTAGTCACGTGCGTGCCTTCCATTCGGTGGATACATATCATATTCATCACCAATAGTACCAGTTCCACCTCTACCACCATATTCATTACGTGCAGGAAATAATCGATAATCTCCAACAGGTATACGCCTTAATGATGTTCCAAAATAATCAGCTGATCTATTGGGTAACGAATAATCACGTCGATCAATAGATGGATACTGATCACCATCAACTGCTATCATTCTGAAATTTCATAATGCATTTTCTTTATTAGTCTGTTATAATTTAATTTTCAGCTTGGCCCTATGTATGTATATATTAGCCAATAATTTTTCATTACCTGCTTCGTGATGGTCGACGATCACCAGCATGATCGTAACTTCTTGACTTCAATGAACCCCAACGCATTCGTCGTAATGATGGTTCCAATGATGTAGCAGCATCTGAACGACGTCGTTGAGGTGGCATTAAATCATCTTTTGCAATTTCGATAACCATATTTGATGGGACAAGTCCGATACGATGACCAATTTGTCCGGTGTAAAAACCATCCTGATCAACATCACCAAAAACCTAAAATACAATCATTTTATTTGCTTAATTAATTTGAAAAAAAAAAAAAGAGAAATGATGAGGAATAACATTGAAAATGAAAAGGAAAAACGAGATGGAAAATTAAGAGAGAAAAAGAGAGAGAGAGAGAGAGAGAGTGAGAGAAATTAAATAACCTTAATTAGTTGATGTTTTCGAAATGAAAGTTCTTCTTGTTGTGCATTTGCATTTGGACTCATATGATGCGAATAATCAAATAACGCCACAAACCATCTATTATCAAAAGTTTTAATTTTTTATGCAAATTTTATGAAATTTCATTATTATAATAAAATCTTTTTGAAAATACGGTAGCAATAAATCAGTGAAATGAATCATCGAATTGATAGGTTAATTAGTGATATTTTCAAAGATTCAACCTTCCGAAAGCATTAATGCTAACATTTTCATTCAATAAGTTACTTTAGCAATAAATATTTTGAAAATCATGTAATAAAACTTGAAAAGGATTTTTCTTTTTTGGAAATAATTTTCCGTCACTTTTTTTTCTAAAAAAAAAAGAAAGGAATGAATGAAAATAGCTAATAACCGGCAGGAGAAATCATCAAGTGCCATCGGTCGAAGATCCGGTTCACTCCTTGTGCTACACAATTCTTCCGTACGCATACGTGCAACCGGAAGTGGTAGGAAATTTCCTGTTCGAGTGGGAAAATTTGCTAATGAACGTCCTGAACGATCATCCATACGATTTCGTAAATAATGTTCAAATCTGGAAAAAGAAAAAAAAAAATTTTTTTTCTAATTTTTTTTTTTTAAATTTCATCATATCAAATTTTAGCTCAATAAAATTAAATTAAATTTCAAAAATCGAATTGCTATAGTGAGAATTATGATTAATATGATGTTTTTTTTTTTCATTTTCAATGATAAATTTGATAAAATTAAAAGTTTTTGTTTTTGATAAAATTAAAAGTTTTTTTTGTTTTAGAAATTTAAGTAAGGACGGGAAGTGGTGTAAATATGTTATACGTTAAAAGCTATTTGGAATGAAAAATAAACACTTTGTGATTTTTTATTTTTGCGCAAGAATTTTTAAACAAAAAACAAAACATATATGTATATAATTTTTGTGATTATTTCAAATATCAATAATTCCTTCTCTTCCTTCTCTTCCTCTTTCCTCCCCTCTCTCTCTCCCTCTCTCTCTCTCTCTCTCCAATTCTTTTTCTCTTTTTTTCATCACAAATATTTATTGTAGATGCTAGACTGAAATATATTCAATAAACACTAGACAAGACAGTTAAGTTTATGATATGAAATAGTAAAAAGTTTCGCTTAAGGGACGCCAGCCAAATATCTCCATTTAAGGGCCTTCGGTTTGCATACACATTATAGCTCTTGGATAGGCCTTAGCATGCAATTTCATACTTTCTAATAACATTCCACTCAGCCTTTCCATAATAATCTTATCGTTCTTTAACAACAATAGCGTCATTATTATCATCATTATTATTGCTTTTATTATCACTGTTATCACTATCACTATTATTAACATCACCATTATTATCGTTACCTTTATTGTCATTATGATCATTATCATTATCATTATCATCATCATTA